GGTCTCCTCTTAATACTGTAGAGGAATGTATGGTTTCCCATACGCGGAAAATATAAGGCTTGTGGTATGGAAGCCCTGAACGCGAGTGTAACGGAGTGTCAGGTTCGAAATTATTCGGGAAATGTAAAAGTTTTTGGAAACCGAATTATACCCTTCCTTGGAGTATAAAATTGAAAGAAGGCGTCATTTTCTACCGAATGATCAAGAGAATGAATATTTTTATGCATGTTTTCCATGAAATACTATTGAATTTTTAAGGGCATCGAAAATCAATGAGAAAATTTCATGCTACTTAAGTAGTCCTTTTTGAAGAATATAGTTCTTGCATGCAGTCCGAAAGAAGTTCGTTCGAAAGCCGGCACCCTGAGGTAACTGGATTATTATAGAATTATTCTACAAGATGATTATTTGTACAACCCTACTTAATTAATCTTTTCGAAAGGGGAACGCATTTCGAAATTTCGGCTGACATTTCATAAGTTAGCCCACCTACTGTGCAGGCCGATCCAACAAGACCAAATTAACCACGGTACTTTAGGCTCGTGGCCCAGTGGTTAGAGGCGTGGACTTCTAACTAGCAGGTCGCGAGTTCGAGCCCCGGGTGTTCCGCACTTCGGGGTCGGATATGACTGGCTGATTACGGCTAATAAGCCAGAAATGGCCATTCCAGTCTCCCTTGTCTTTGTCGGTAATAACATACTCTACTTTAGGCTGTTCGTCTTCTCTCTAAATCGCACTTTTTCATAAGTCTCCTCCTTGTACGGATATATGCTTGAAATCCACGAACATTTCGATGGACGAAAGGGAGTGTGGGACGATTACAACGCTCCGATAGCATTTTTTGATCGGGCGCTGTTCTTATCGCTGAAGATCCCTACCCGGAATGAGTTAATAATCCTGTATTGCTTCACATCGTCCCAACCGTCGTATATGGCCCGTTCCCTACAACGGGCCAGGCGCGAGTTGCGCTGGGCTAGCATAAGGACCAGATTAGGGCACGACACGCGTTATTGGGCCGCGCACCCATAACAAATGTCTACACGGGGACGTGGTGGCACGCCTGGGCGCGGGCTTATGACGCGCAATCCACCAGCGCCAGGTTCCTCCTCCGGTCCTCTTGACTCTGTCTTGACGCCGGGCTAAGTTAGGGTAGGATGAGAGCGTGCGGTGGACGCAGCGCCAGCTTATTATCACCATAAACTAATTCACGCGCAAGTCACCCTCCCTTTTCTCACCTGGCTGTGGAGCACACGATGGGCATCGTCGGTAACGAAGGTCGAACTGTCGATAAAGTCTGTCCCATAATCATAAGGTCACCTATTTTTCGACTGAAATTTCGACAATTTATGTACATCGAAGCGATTTTTTGTGCGAGAGAACGAAAAACGACTGCTTTTAATATTAACAGGATATTCGAAAGATGGCTGTCTTACAAGTATGCCACTCATTTTGTGGTGCCGCTGCTTGAATCTGAGAAAGAAATGTGACCTTTATTTTGCTTCACAATTTAAGCACAACTCTTTTTCCTTCTGTTGACCAAATTTTCAATTTCTGCTTCATTCAAAGCATCTCACACCTGCTGAATAGCCTCCCTTAGTTGATCCTCCGGCTGGCAGTTTGCATTTTGTCAGTATGTACGCCTGGATAAAAGTCCCATAGATTCTCAATTAGGTCAAGATCGGGGCTCAGACATGGATAGGTCACTGGCTCAATTTGGCCGCCTTTTAGCCACTATTCCGCCTTTTGCTTGTATGTATATTACAGTTGTCTCGTTGGCATTGCTGTCTGGTCCACTGCTGTACCGGCTCACAAACGACAGTAGTTGAACAGAAAGTGTTTGAATGCATGACTGAGCATTCTGTTTTCCCCGTAAAAACATCAGCTTTAACTTGTTGCGCGAAACAAACGATCCCTAGACCACCGTGTTGCCATCTCCACTGGAGGTATCAGGCTGCTTATGCAGGTAATGCTGCTAGTAACGGTTCAGCCGCCCAGGCCATCCCGATAAAATTTTCTTTTCATCAGAGAAGAGCACCTTGGGTCACTAATCTATCCAGGGAGTCTGATCATCAGCCCAGCGCACTAGTTGTTCTTTGGGATACTTTCTCAACGGCAGCATTTGTCGGACTTTCCGATAAGCGAAAGGCAAGAAACTCTTAGTGATCCTGTGAAGTGTGTCCTGTGAGAATTCCAGCGCCGACTCTCTCATAATAATGCGCATGCTGTTGATTCTCGCAGGTACCTCAAGTAGCACTGATATTTCCACCTGAGATGCATGGCTTCGCCTCCCTCTGGTTTGTCTCCCCTTACATCATTTTTCTGAATACCAATGTGGTTATTCACCACGGTTTTCGGTCTAACCAGACTTTGTCTCGTCTCTCTGCTGCCATGACTCAATACACGCTACGTCGGAATCTACTTTAGCTTAAAATCAGTCAGTTGCGCTTCCCTAGGAATGCGCGAAAGGCTAAAAACGGACTGCAGTTCGTCGAGCTTGGGGAAAAAAATTGTATTGTGTGTGGTACTCGCTGCATTATCTTCACTGTGTGATAAAATCTTGTTCGTACTAAAACTTTTACCGCCCTCCCCCCGTGCAAAAAACCGGACTAATCTACGCGAAATTTCCGAAATTTCAGCCGAAGGATAGGTGGCCGTTTAGTCGTTGACCAAACTCTAACGGTGGTTCTGGGTTCGCCGAGAAATTTGGCGTCTCCCGCGTCCCGATGCCTGCCATACTTCTCTTTGCGGGATAGGATAATGACTTAGAGGGGACGGTTGTACCGTGTGGCGCGCAAGACGTCTATCTCTTAACTTGCACGCTGCGGTAGGCACGCGGAGTCACCGCGATTACGGTGCACCCAAGTCGGCCCTGATAGAGGACACGAGTGTACTTTCAAAGTACACTGGACGATCCAGACAAACAGGCAGGGGAAGGGGCTCCTTTTCTGCACACTCGGATCTGCTGCTGCTGCTGCTGCTGCTGCTGCTGCTGCTTCTGTCATAATGACTGGAGGACGAGCGCTGCCCTCACTGAGTCCACTGCCATCCGAGTTCAGCACGTTATTATCCTACCCAAAGAAGGCCTCGTAATTTCCTCTTGAAGCATGCTCAGACCTAGCTTTGTTCTCAGTCCGGTCAGCGAGGACCACTCATTCCGTGATTTAAAAGGGCCCATCGAAAGGATATCTAGTTGAGATGGAGAAATGTGAGATATCAAATGCCTCCTTGGTCATCCGTCCAGGCAAAGCTTATTTTGCATATGTTAATACTCTCCTTAGTAGTTGCATTAAATTGAATGCGTCAGAGGCAACGCCAGGCGGCACTGCCTGTTCATTAATTGGTGAGTGGGATCCAAAAAGAATAAACACAGACGGGGTTGCTCTGACACAAGTTCTCTTCAAATCCTCGCAGCGACTGCCTAAAGCTTGTTGAACGGCAGAGCTAGTTAGATACGAAGCTTTCACTTTTGCCGTAGCCGCGCTATGCATCCTCCCTCACACATACAAACCACTTATAGTGCGCATCCAGGGTAGACATTAGAGTTGCTTCCAAGAAGTTCAAACCTGTGTCCTGGAGGTATCTCCGTGACACATTGGCAGCAGCGACAGCAAGTCTCACTCACCAGCACTGACGGTTTTCCAAAAAAATCTGTCCTTGTGCATGACTGCCAAGTCGGCAGCGGTAGGGTGAAGTACCCCACTCAACTGTCATATGGGCTTTTATATTGGCATCCAGGCAACGGTAGGGTGAAGGCCCGAACCTTAATGTTGATAAATTGTGGATCGTGTCATACGGGGTTTGTGGTAGTGGGGGTTTTACGGGTGGGGCAGCACGTCAGACGGTGAGCTGACAAAATGCAAGGAAACACGGAAACCCTTTGGATCCCTGACGTAAGCTTTTCTATGGAAACGGAAATGAGCACGTGGATTAAAAAATAAACAAAAAGCAAGTTTTCAAAAAAATAACGAAGTCTGGGTAATGGTTTGAGGTCAAGGGATGTAATTGTTGTTGGCAGTGTAATGTCTGCAACGGACTGCAACTGGATGCCGGCAACGATAGGGTGTAGGACCCACGACTAAACTCAGCTAGCCTGTGGAACGTGTCACACGTTGAATGGTGGTAAGAGAGGGTTTTACGGGCGGGCAACACACAGGACGGAGAGAAAGAAGAAGCAGGAAACAGATAAATTTCTGCCGAAAGTCTTATCGTACACTGTCATTTGGCTAAGAAAGTGAGCGCGACAATTAAAAAATAGACAAAAAGCAACTGTCAAAAAATGACGGACTCTGAATAAAGCGCCGCTGGTAAGTTTACGTCTAGTCAGGAAGGGAAGGAAATTCCAAACAGTGGGGACGGTGAATAACAAATGATGTCTTACGGTCACACTGCATTTTAGGGTATATTTTTGCAGTTGCCAACTGCTTGTCGGTCCTACACCCTATCGTTACCCACCGTGCATGCTAATATGTTGGCTAAAGCAATCGCACAGACCTTAATTAAACACGCAAATATCAGTTGTGCAGACGGAAAGACCGTCTAATGGACTATCGTTATCATCGAGTTTTTCCGGCGGCTTTCAAGTGCTCCCAGCTTCCCCTCCGAGACAAGGACGAAACGTGCCCCTGACCCCCTGCGCGTGCCAATGTCCTCACCCTACTTCGCTGAGCGGCCACACCAACGGCTGGTCTACCTGAGGCTGCCGTGCTGCACTGTGGGTGGCATGCATTTCAGCCAATCAGACAGAAATAAGCGATAGACTCGACGCCTCCACCCCCCGCCCCCCCCCTTTTGTGCAAGAAACGGACAACCGGGCGTCTCGCCGGCCGTTACCGCGCCCCGACCGTGGCGTTGTCATTACCTGATTGGGTAGCTAAAGCGACTAACTCCCGACGTGGCTGCTCCACCCGATAAGTCTCGAGCAGGATCGATAGGGTGCGTGTGCACCCAGTAGTGACTCGCTCCGCTACCGCTGGCCTGTCGAGAGGCCCGTCATTTCCACAATGTTCGTCTCACCGTCGGGTCTTTGGGATGACGGGGCTTCTACCTCCACCGCCCGGTCAACGCCCCCTCGATCCAGTGTTCTGAATGATCTCACGAACTGCATGGGTGAGTTTCTCTCGTTCTACGCCGTTTGGGACACAACCACCTTAACATCTATGCAAGACCACCTGGCGGCCACCCTGGTCGCTTACGTGCGCATGATAAACTGGTCGACGGGTAACGTTGGGACAGCATGAATGAGGTTGTGCGTGCTTTTAAGACAGTTTTTTTTTGCAGGGTTACAGTTAAGCTAATCAAGCGAATAATTTCAGAAATTATTCAGTGCAGGACATGGAGTTAAGTCTCCGGGACGTGACTTTTTAGTGTCAGACTCGAAATTTCAGTGAACATTTGAGTCGGAGACGATCAACTACTGTGGGATAACCACGTAATGTCCATTCTACAAAGAAGTAGCCGTGCGAGAGGTATGAAATGCATATGGCAAACGTGTTATACCGTGCTCCCGACTTAAGTCCACGTCCTTCACTGAATGATTTCTGAAATTATTCGTTTGATCTTTCTCTAGCGTTTATATACCAGAAACCGCATAGGGGACGCTGGGGAACCCTCTGAGGAGCCGGAGCTTTGCCAACTGTGGCAGGCAGCGGCATAATATCAGCGAAACACGTGTATGGGCTTGTAGTTAGTACCTATGTCGGGAGTACGGTATAGTACGTTTGCCAGTCAAGTTAATGTTTGAACAGGTGAGATTCTCAAGCGCACTAAAGGACTGGTGCTGACGGGGACGGGCTAGGACAGATGGAGTCACCCATACTCTTGGGATTACCGCGGACACACAAGTGGGGTTAACGGTATCTGTTTAGACGCTAGTGCCCATCTCAGAATACGCCTTACAGGTGAGAAATCGCCCGAATATTACAGGATGTGCCGAATTTCCTGAAAAGTTGTTTGATTTCCTTGGCTATGCTCTCGACTTAGAGGATTTCCCAAATCCCAGTACAGGTCAATATACGGTTTTTGTTGATTCCTGATGGTGGACCACTTGACCAGACAACTGGAGTAACGGCCAACGGATTTTCTAGGTTACTGAGGCAACCAAGACGGGCAGTGTGTTCGCTTGGACAGAGTCTACCAACGGCTGTGGATCAGTATGGGAACACGAAGTTCGTTGCCGGCTGACACCTGCTTTTGTTACTTCTCGGTATGTGAATCGATGCGGTTAACCAGTTTCCTTCTGGAAGCGTTTACACACGTTCTGGTATTCACGTTAGACGTGTAACCCTCGGCTCCGAAAGAACCCGAGCATAATAGGCGAGCACATATGAAACGAGGCTCGGGGACATACTTCCTCCTAAATTTCCTACAGAGGGAGTACCTACCTCCCATGCCAGATGCTTATTACAGAGGACTTAACAGAATTCTTGAGATGTGGTTATTTATGGTTCACGCTCTATTTTTGCATTGAGAAGCTCGACAATTCGCGCATATTCCGAGAAACACTATTCGTCTTTTGCTTCATCGCCATAGGCTCCCGCCCTCCAGTCTCCCTTGGAGTCATTTTCTGATTCATTTTCGTGTCGTTTTTAGGAAACTATCCTAGGATTTACCGGTCGCCCCCTCACTCAAACCAGGTCTCGTAAGCTACCCCTTACTGTACAGTATAGGAAAGGATATTGACGAAGGCGGGTTGGGACGGATATTTCTGGCCTATGAGCCCCAGATTTGGATAACCTGGGATTCAAACCAGACGGTTGAGCCACGGGCCTGTTCTGTCGGCTGTGATCGGAAATATTAGCTGTGTTGGAGGTTTCTTCGCAGATCGCGTTACGGAGCATTCTCGTCCCTTTGCGCATTGGATCACAATCTACAGAACCTCACAGGCAGAAAGGAATACCACATGATTGTCCCTCTTCTGGGGTTGTTTTAGTGTACCTTTGGGAAGAAAACCATCGTCCTTTCTTTGATGGGTTTTAGAACCTCCCAGTAACAAAGCAAGCATCCAGCAAAAATAGCCCTTCTGTCTTAAATAGTTAAGAATACCACGATCCCTCTCCTAAAGGACCCTTATTACCGCCATTATCTTATTACAGGTGGTCTAGGGCGGGAATTATATTTCAAAAAACGTGTCTTTTTTATATAATAAAGTAAGCGCACAGTGCGAATACGGTTCATTTTCCTTTTCGCACATTTAAAAGCAAGTTTCCTCTCTTAACATACCCGTATTAATACCATTCCCGTATTACCTCCGTCAGTACGACAGTCGCGAACGACGTCATCCACCGTGTAGTCAACAGCAGGGTGGGCGCAGTGACGGTGACTTGCACTCGATCTAGTTTATATTGATAGCAGACTTGTGCTGCGTCTACCGCACTCTCATCTCCCCCACCCACCCGAGCCCGGTGTCAAGACAGAGTTAAGAGGACCGCAGGCTAGATCGGGTGCAGCGGTGGACTAAAGTTAAACGTCCCGTCCACTCTTGATTCGCGCTTGGTGGGTCAGAATTTCACAGCAACAGTAAGTGGGTCAACTCGGATTCAAACTGAGTGGGAGTGTCACAGAGTTCACAGTAAGAAAAAGCCATTTCAACCTGACTCATTCCTGGGAGGAGGACCGAGTTACCCCGTTAGTTGTCGTCAGCCTTTCAAGCCACGGCTTTTGGCGCACCATGATAGCGCGTCCAATTGTTCATGAGGAATATGCGTTGAGTGCCAAGGAGAGACAGCCTCCCGAGTCGAGGTCACGCTCCTCTCTCCCATTCCGCTGTTTGAGTTGGTCAACCATCTGGTGCAGAGATTGGACGCAGGTTGCTGGTGCGGCGTTGACCTGCGCCTAGGCGTACTGCTGTGTGCGGCATTTGTAATGGGTGCGCAGTCCAAATAACGCATTTCGTACCCTGACCTGCCTCGTGTGTTGATCCAGCGCAACTCCCGTTGTATGGAGAACTTCAGTGTGTTAAAGTAACGGAGGTAGACGTATTCCCATCGAAACAAATTTTTTTCTAGTAAGGTTGGAGGTACTTATTTCCTACACTTTTTACGAGGAATTACGTCTCAAAAGCTTGCGTTGGTGCTGAATACTTCGATACTAACAGATTAGATAATTTGGCCTTCACTAGAAAGAATAACAAGCGTTCCCATCTGTTCCTATGGCCACCATATAGTGTAAGTGACACTTTCTAGAAATGTTTTAAATTTATTTTCTTGTCCTCCTCAGAAGATATCTGACACTGTCAAGGTATGGAAATAGATTTAGTCCACACTGTTTACTTTTAAGCAAACTTAATAATTTTATCGGTTTTAGTGTTCGCAGACGCCCTTGCAACGATGTCAAGAATTATTCCCATCTGAAGGGAAAACTTCGGTTCTAATACTCTTAGAACTGAGGTGCTAAATCTCAACATGGTCTGCGTTCCTACCATGAGCTTTGCGCACATTCTTTTGCATAATGTGCATTTTTTAATGGGCATCGACGTCTGGAATTAATGCCAGTTAAGCAGTCACTCTTCTCTATTACATAAGTGGCTAAATGCATTCCCAGTTGAAATCCAGCATGTTTTGGGCACTCACTGTGGTCACTTCCCATTGTTAGCGCGATCCTTTTTACAGCCGTCCTTCTCTGCTTGATAGCATAAACACCTGTTTCGGTAGTTGTTTCAAGGGTTTCCGCGACTGCACGCTCTTGAGTCAAGGTGGAATTATTTCTGACCCTGCATGTATCGTCCCCGTCCCTAATTCTCAATTTGACGGTTTGCATTTTCGGGGCTTTTAGGCGACCACCAGCGAATCAATCGCACCGCCTCCACCATCCAGACCGTGGAACACTGGCAGGCAATGTAAGTGTTTTTTTTCATTTTTCGCTCTGCTTTGCGTCTTTTACTTCAGTGGTTTTGACTTATCTCCCCGCATGTACAGTTGTTGTAATGTCCAATCTGAGGAGTTCAGTGGTAGTGAGGAATCTGGATGAGTGGAAATGAAACACTTGTTACCATTGGATGACAGAAATCTCATCGCTGTTTGCCTCCGCTCCGTGTACTGCGCTAAGACCCGTCGGCTTAGATGGTAATCAGGCATACTAGGGTATCCACGTTTTGTACAGTGGGTGGGCTAACTCATGAAATGTCAACCGAAATTCCGAAATGCGTTTTCGTTTCGGGAAGATTAATTAAGTAGGGTTGTAAAACTAGTCAGCCTGCAACATAATTCTACAATATTTCAGTTACCACAGGATGCGGGCTTTCGAACGAACTTCCTTCTGGTTACGTGAAAAAACTACACTCTGCGAAAAATTACTACTTAAGTAGCATGCATTTTTCTCATTGATTTTCGATGCCCCTAAATGTTCAATTATATTTCATAGAAAACAAATAAAAATATTCTTTTGCTCATTCTGTAGATAATTACGTCTTCTTCCTATCTTATATTCGGGGAAGGCATAATTTGGTTTTCAAAAACTTTTCCAATTCCCGAATAATTTTGAACCCGCTCTACCGTTACACTTGGATTCAGGGTTTCCAAACTACAAGCCGGATATTTTCCGCGTACGGAAAAACACACAATTCTCTACGGTAAAAAGGGGGCCATATAGGGGTCCATAAAATTTAGCGGGGGATTGGAGCCATATTGTTAGGTTTACAAGCCACATTGGTAAATGCAGAGACATGACGATTTATGAACGACCATTCCACGGTATTTAAAAGTCCCACAATTAGAAACTTTGTAAAACCGAATTATGGCCTTCCTTCGAGTATAAGTTTGGAAGAAGACGTAATTTTCACCGAATGAGCGAAAGAATGAATATTTTGATGCATGTTTCCCATGAAATATGATTGGACATTTACGGGCATCGAAAATCAATGAGAAAAATGTATGCTACTTATGTAGTCGTTTTTTTTACAGTGTAGTTTGTGCATGCTGCCGGAAAGAAGTCCATTCGAAAGCCGGCATCCTGATGTAACTGAAATATTATAGAATTATGTTGCAGGCTGACTAGTTTTACAACCCTACTTAATTAATCTGTTCGAAACGAAAACGCATTTCGGAATTTCTGTTGACACTTCATGAGCTAGCACACCTAGTTTACGTATGCTAGTGCGGCTTCGGTTGATTGCCCTTTTAAAAGGTTTGTACAGGCATTAACGTTCATCCTTTTACGTCGCAATACTAGCTTCACGGTCTCTCTCCAGGGCGGTGATGCTTTTTTGCTGGACAATTACTTATCTAGGTTTTCGGAATAGACCTCTTGGAAATGTTGTTTCCTACGATTTATCTGGACGCTTACAGGGTAAGACACGGGTGGTCTTACGCCAAATTCCATGGAGCGTAACCTACGCATAACCTTAAACTAAACCTTAGCCTTGAAATTAGGGTAAGGGTATGTTTTACGCCCGGGGTCACCTACTTCGGGGAGCAATTGTGCTAAAAGCGAATGACTGGCGATATTTATTTGTAGGTACCAGAGAAAGGAATGAGAAGACCACTCGGTGGCTGCTGCGTTAGGTTGGCCAAGGGGCTTTAAGGTATTCATCGAATTATAAATACGACAATGCTTCCAAATGGGCACTAACGTTATGTATTATTGGCTTTGAATGGTAAAAATAATGTCCCCTTTTGATTGGTGACAGAATGGAGGATCAGCATTTGCGATACCGCAAAGTTCTTGGATGTTCGGCTCTTTGCCTCAACAAAAGTACTCCACGGAGTAAGTGACCCCGGGCGTAAACCATACCCCTGCCAAAATTAGCCCTTTAAGTTAGACCATAACCTTAGCCCCAATTTCCCTAAATTTTGGCGCGAGGCCACCTGTACTACGGGGAGGTTCATATTTCTTTGTCTTACCGTCTACGAGTCAGTTTAAGACGTGCTCTTTAAAGTGTCATTATCCTCCAATACAAGTTAGTCATCACATTTAAGAGACTATACAACACTCATATGTTCATGCTGCATCACCCTTCGAACCCCCAAGCACAATCTTTGACATTCGATTTTCAATTCCAATGCCACTGGCGTTCGAAACTCACGGAGTGAATCGGTCAGTTTTATACCGCCTGTCTCGCAACTTTCGGTGAGTACTGTCAGTAAAGACAGAAGATTGGGCAGGACACACTCATAATTACCTCCCGGCCGTATTGCAGATGACCTTGCCCTAAGTCCCGGGGGTTGGTGTTAGGGTTTGGACACAGGCGTACAGCAGGTGGACTAACTCATGAAATGTCAACCGGAATTCCGAAAAGCGTCTTCGTTTCGGAAAGATTAATTAGGTAGGGTTGCAAAACTAATCATTATGCAGCATAATTCTACAATAACTCAGTTACCGCAGGTTGCCGGCTTTCGAACGAATTTCTTTCCGGCTGCATGCAAAAACTACACTCCGTAAAAAACGACTACTTGCGTAGCATACATTTTTCTTACTGGTTTTCGATGTCCCTAAAGGTCCAGTTGTATTTCATGGAAAACAAATAAAAGTATTCATTCTTTCGTTTATTCGGTAGACAATTTCGTCTTCGTCCAATCTTATGCTTGAAGGAAAGGTATACTTCGGTTTTTAAAAAGTCCCTTATTGTGAGATTTTTTAATACCGTGAAATGCCCGTTCGTAAAACAATAGTTAACAATATGGCTCAAATCCACTGCTAAATTTTATGAACCCCACATTGTCTCCTCTTAATGCCCTAATGCAAGTGTAACCGCGGGTTAGGTTCACATGTATTCTGGAATTGGAAAAGTTTTTAACAACGGAATTATACCGTCTTCGAATATTGAATTGGAAGGAGACTTCATTTTCTATCAAATATGCAAGAAAATAAATATTTTGATGGATGTTTTTCCATGAATTGTAATTGAATTTTTGAGGACATTAAAAGTCAATGGGAAAAGTGCATGCCTCTTTAGTAGTCACTTTTTACGGAGTGTAGTTTTTGCATGCAGGCGAAAAGAAGTTCAGTCGACTGCCGGCATCCTGAGGTAACTGAATTATTGTAGGATTATGCGGCATGATGATTCGTTTCGCAACCCTACTTAATCTTCTCGAAACGAAGACGCTTTTCGGAATCTTGGTTGACATTTCACGAGTTAATCCACATACTGTATGCATCGCCGGGAATCTAGCGTAAAGTCGCCTGCAGTACGGGGGATACTTATTTCTCTGTCCATCTAAAGATTGGAATGCTTATTTCGGGCCTATATATGTGACCACACAGCGGGCTAAATAACCGTAGAAAACGAATGACTGACCACCGCGAATGTAGCTTGAGGATATTAAATGCGGACGTCCTCTTGTTCGCGCATGGATCAGCAACACCATTGATCCTCTCGCTGCTTAAGTAACAGCTGGTAGTGACAGCTGTTCCAAAGGTGAGTCCTGGGAAGAGCACACAGGATAAGAAGTTTCAGACGTTTTATTTTTCGTCCAGGAACACCCTGAACACGTGGGATCACGAAGAACGGTTGGTGAATAGGTGCAAGCCTTTACAACTGTCAAGGCGACGGTCAAGAACGACTAGACATAACCTTGCAAAAGTCCATCAACAAAGTCTGTGACCGTTTCGAAATGTTTCTATGTGGTATTTACTACCCACAGCGCTAAATATTGACGGAATTCGAAAGAGACGTCTCTAAAACACGAGCACTCTTCGACATAGGAGTGAAGGTTCCTTGAGTACAATGAAGGATAGGGTGGGCATTTGGACATCCACAGATAACCACATTTAGGGGTTGAGGGATGGGCCAAGACCGCAGGAGTCAAATGTAAGTTTTACTTATCTTCTCTAAACGCGATTGGACATAAAGAGACCCAGATATGCTATAAGACAAAGTGACACCGGGGTATAGTATGGAGCTTTAGTTGAGAGACGATCAAAGGACACAGGATCAGGAACTTTTTACGACCCAAAACACGCTGGGTCGACTTCTGGTCGGCAAAGAGAATACAGTTTTATGCAAACTGTGCTTCGTCGTTCAAGCCCTCCTGAGGCAGTTGATCGTCATTTTTGGCGGATTGATCACTTAGTAGTGTTACCAGCATATTTGAAGCATACAGCGACCGTATTTCCTCAGTGCGAAGCGATAAGTGAAGGAATAATACGATGGCTTATAAGACGCCGGAGGTGCTGGAGCTAAAAGTAGATTTGCGTTTTCCAGCTTGGGGAAGTTGGGTTCTTAACAGAGGACATTTTGCAGGAAGCAATATGACCGGGAGAGCCTCGCTCAAGTGTTTCATGGGACAGTATTCAATGCGGAATAAATCTAGAAATGCTCATGTATAGATACAGGAGCCCTTGTCCAGGTCTTTTAGTGGCAACAGCGTCTAGAGATACCGTCCTTCGCGTTGTAAGTAAATTACAAGGATCACAGGTAAAGGAAGCTGGAAAGTTTGAATTCAGGTGATCCGAAGAGCAAGCAACGAGACATGGGATTCCGGGGCAGATGTATTAAACTTTAGGATATGGACGGCCCTTAGTGTCCGAAGCATCAGGCATCGTAGCTCCCCTAAGAGAAGGATTAAGAAAGTACGTAGAAACTGGTGCGAACTGAAAAAAGCATGGTATAAGGGGAGACGAACAGAAATTGTCTACTCTAGCAGACGTAGAATTGCGACTCTGTGGAATATGTTTACCAGTCGTAACCTCTAACACTGAACAAAAGGCGCTTTCTGGTAGAGCTTGAGTCTTAAAACTGCAATTTTAGTTTTCTGTCGAGGTATCGGGGACGGGCGAGGGTATCCCCTGACGCTGAGAAGGGTTATCAGCGTACGTCTAAGTCGAAACCAACATGGACGGAGGAAGTCCGTTGGTTGGCGAAACCTTTGACACTTTTCCTCATCCTGTCAAGGGAGGGATGCGGAAGCGGGACACAGGAAAGTAGGACACGAGAATACACGTCCTCCCGTACGACGGATGGCCTTGCGCTAACTTCCGTGTGGGTACATATTCCCGTGTCCTAGCACTAACCTTTTAACCCCTGACCTGACGTCCTTGCGACCTAGCGTAAGGTTACCTGTCGTACGGGGGACGGGGGTACCTATTCCCGTGTCGAACCTAGAGTAGATCTGGGAATATATCTTGAATGTTTAGGGTAGAGAAGGAAATTTCGCAAAAACTTTTCGTGTGGATACCATAGTCCAAGAAGTGTGTTTACAGGGATTGCAGACGTGAGCCTTGGAAAGTTCAAGCATTGGCCGGTTCAAAGTTGGCGACAACAGACCGTAGTAAACAGACTTTCAAGTAGAAGTGTCAGGAGGCATAATGGTTCGCTCGGGCTCGGGCTTGGGCAACAGTGTCTGTTTAGTTTTGTAGCTAGATTTTGAGAAGCCCTGGTGGGATGGGGAGGATGACAGGCAGGCGAAGAGGCCCTGATTATAACGTAAAAAGGGCTCCGGTAGCAAGTGCCAACGTGGCCGAGCGGGGGAAATGGGGACAAGTATTGAGGGAAAATATGTGTGCGAATCCCAAGAGGGTGGGCTAATTTAACAAGATTGAGATAGACAACAGAATACACATTTTTCTAGGCATTACAACTTATTTTTCTGCCAGAAGGTCAGCAACAGGCAAGGGAGTCTCAGTGATAACGCAGGCTATGCTCTTGGGGGATACCAGCCTACCGGACAGCGCTTACATCTTATACGATCTTCGGAGTGGGAAATGGCACCTTAAAGTAGTTGTCCTAGTGTTCCTTGGTAAGTCAAACAACCCGCCCCTCCCACCTGCTACCTGTTGAGGATTTGAGGCACCAGTAAGGCGGGGGCTGGGGTTCCAGTTCTCGCGTTTTTATATGGACCGATATTTCATTAAGAGAAACCCCCGACAGGACTTGTGGTTTTGGAGTCGAAATTTTGGCCAAAACTGTCAGTGGAACACAGTCGATCAGCTTATTGCATGAGTGACAGACAGGACATTACTCGTCGTAGATCGCAGGTGCGCATAACATTGGCACAAGTGTACGCACAGAGCATGCATGATTTGCATCATTTTACCAGTACGAATAAAGGGTCAAAAATAGTTCACCTCATATTGCGATAAATACGAAAACTCGTGGAGATAAGTAACGGCTACCCTATTGTAAAAGCCCGCCCGGACAGTTAGTTCCGGGGTGCCTGTTTATTGCTCTGGCAGATGTGACCATCGAGACTGCCGAAAACAGTCGCTAGCTGTGCCTGCTACTAACGGTTTTTTTCATTGTACATACAAGATGTAATTTATGCCGAAAAGACGTCATTTAACAGATGTCAGCCCCATTACGCAGCCGGATTTGCTGTAATCAACGGTCCTCAACTAAGGATGTGCAAAGCGGCTTTGGGGTTTTAGATTTTGAGACATCTTGGGGTTTAATCAAGTTACACCGTGTTGCTGGCACTTTTGAGCGGACAAGCCAGTTGTGCGAGAGCATGCCGCAGGACTCTACCCGGTTGTGTGACGCCCCTCCCCTCCTGCTCGGGAAAGACAGCACTACAACTGAATGACACGACCCCCCCCCCCCGAAGGTCGCTGTTGCAGGCGCTCCACGTCTTGACATTCCGTTGACATTTGAGCCCGGGTGACTACAGCCCCCATCTTCCCCACCCCCGGTCCATTCGCGTGAAGGCCCTCTCGCAGCTACAGGAGGGTGCGGGTCTGCACCCGGAGGGGGGGGGGATTTTACGATCGGTTCCCCGCCCGCTGTGCCTGGGTGTTCTCCAACCCGCTACCACCACCGTAACGGTATCGTTTGCTGCACCGTGTGTGGCCGTACTTTGCGTACAGAGTCCGGTCTTGATCAAATGGGACCCGTCCGATCTTGGCTCATTCAGCGCACCTTAGTTGTCCCTAATCGCCGAGTAAGTTTCAAGTACCGGCGCTCACCTTCGCGTTTTCATCGCCTGGGTGGTATCCGAGTTCTCTAGCAGTTTTCAAAATTTGTGGTCGTACCGTGCAGGGCTTGTGCGTCCATGTTGCTAGCGCTCGAGGCTGTGGTCGCTACGAGAGTAAGCAGCCCTTACACTGCCGACCAATCAGACTGTCACCAGAGGTCCAAAGATGGTGGAGACGCCCGCTATGACTGGCTTGGCGCCTCTCTAAGGGCACTCCAAAAGTTATGACTCAGTTATAGTTAGTTTTTTTTGACCGAAAACGCTTCATAGTTGGTTGTCACTCGTGTCAGTGGGCTAGGGCGATGCTGATAGCTGGACAGAAGCTGGTGGCGATGTCAAGATCCTTGAGTCCATACGGGTCGTATTCCCGCATAGGGTGACTTCGATGTGGAGCCGTCCTAACCGTAACCGAACTCTTGGAAGGGCATGATCATGTCGGGCCCACGTTTTGCATAGGCGGGTTTCACCAGCGTGCGGCGAACTTATTTTTAAGGTAGGAACTATTTGAAAGCAGAATGGACAGGTGTATCCTCCTCTGCGGAGAACACTCAGTACAATGAAGTAGTTGATCGCAACGAAACTAATCATCATCCACACAGCTGTCCCCAATTACGCAGTGGTCCGGGAGCCGCTCCTTGTTCTGCCATTCCAGACACCCGCGACAACACAAGGTCGCTCATTGGAATACACCTTGATTGTCATCTGGACTTTGTCGTAGAAATCGTCTTTCTGCTTATTGCCAGCATCCCAGCCATCGAGGGCTACACAACAACAGTTGTACGCTTGGCAGTATTAACGTAATGAAGGTGCCCAAGTACAACCTTGATGACGCCAGTTACCAGCCTGATAATTCTGGACGATTGTTGCACACACACTGCGGTAGATGCGAACACAATCTTATATTCGTGCCTGGCACCTTGGTGCTGCGCCAGCTATGGTCTGGTAAACTCACCCTGAAGGGCCAGACAACGTCCACGCTCAACTGTGCCAACGTTTGCACGGTGGGGCTCTACGTTCGCAACGTGGCAAGAGTTCTGACCTTCAACTATACGATGTGCGGCGTCCCACAATAGGGCCACCGTGCGTACTTTCTATCTGGCCCGTTGACAAAGGTCTCGACGCGAGTCTGTCCTGAACGCCCTGACAGAAGCCGCAATCCGTGGTTCTTTGAGTGTGTCCATACCCTTGGGGTTCGGGGGTTTGGTACAGGTCGGGTCCCATAGGCCACTCCTGAAGCAAAGGCAGCGGCCGTTCATACTCGGCCCGTCGTCATTGAACTCTGCGACATTTTGTGGTATGGTAGGTTTTCCCGATCCCCATCCTCCGCTTCCTGCTAGAAGTACTGTCTTCAGTCTGAGATTGTCTGTCAGACTCATCCAGATGTCCGTCATCCATTAACGCGCCAAGTACTCAATACAGTAGATGTGCTAATTCATGAAATGTTGGCCGAAATTTTGAATTGCGTTTTCGACTCAAAAAGATTACCTAAGTAGGGTTGTAATATTAATTACCGTGCAGCATAATCCTACAATAGTGCAGTTACTTCAGGATGCTGGCTTTTAAGTAGACTTTTTTTTCCGGCCGCTTGCAAGACTGCATTTTGCAAAAAGTGCTTACTAAAAAGTGTTAATTTTTCTCATTGATTTTCGATGTCCATATAAATTCAGATATATTTCATGGAAAGCATGAATAAAAATATTTATTCCTTTACTCCTTTGGTAAAAAACGTTACGTCTTCTTTAAACGTTATACTTGAAGGAAGGGTATAATTCGGTTCCAAAGGACTTTCGCAATTCCCAAATAATTTTGAGCCCGACCTTCCACTAACTTGCATTCAGGGTTTCAGCTGTATATTTTCCTTGTACGGAAATTCGTAAATTTCTATACGCCTATGAAGGGAAACCATGAGGAGTTCATACAATCTGACGGTGGATTTGAACCATATTGTGAACTTTACAAGCAATGCAGTGACACGATGTCTTATGAACGGGCATTTCATGGTCTTAAAAAATCTCATAATTAAAAACTTCCTTAAAAATGAACTATGCCTTTCAAGTGTAGAGACTGAAGAAGACGTAATTTTCTACCAAATGAGTAAATGAACCAGTATTTTCATGCAGGTCTTCCATGAAGTATATTTAAATTCATATGGACATCGAAAATCGATGAGAAAGATTTGCACTTTCTGGTAGGCACTTTTTGCAGAGTGCAGTTTTGCAGGCGGCCGGAAAATAAAGTTGACTTAAAAGCCAGCATCCTGAAGTAACTGAATTATCATAGGATTATGCTGCATGGTAATTACTATTACAATCCTACTTAGGTAACCTTTTTGAGTCGAGAACGCATTTCAGAATGTCGACTAACATTTCATGACTTAACACACTTCTATGCCTGGGCTGACGGACCTGAGCTTCTGTCTGCTAACTTGTGTTATTATGACGGCATGTGTAGACCACGCCCCAGACGGGATATTTTGGCAGATTCGTTTACTCGTCGCTGAAATAGGGTTTTCTCTGGGAGTGCAAACAAACTTCCACTCATAAATCCTGATTTTGGTGTAACCTGTGATGCTTGGCGCTTGCCCACCCTGACCTAGTATTTTGTCCAGGCAGCTTTGCGGATTGTTGAGATCGTGGTTCGAGTCAGTCACAGCATTAGCCACTGACTATTGCACATTGCTTGATTTCCTTTGAGTTTTTAAATATGTACCTCGGCGGTATCCGTCAACAAGGTGACATCTCTCCGTGAAAGTCTTGTGAATGCCAATAGGAACGAAGATACGAGTCCCAGGAAGCAGTAGTGAATAAAGAGACACGATCGCCGGGACAAGAGCTTTATTCGCTTGCGGTCTCGGATTCCGGCTCGAACCCACCATCGGAGACAAAAGCAGATACAGGTCTTGTGAATGAACTAGTTTGTGGTTACCGCCTACATAAGCTTCGGACTTAATCGAGCCAGTGTCCGGGGGGTCCTCACAGCCAACATGTGCTGCACCCCCTCCCCTGATCGTCTACTAGAGGGCAGACGATCACTGGGTTCTATTTGGGGGAAACTGCAAATGCCATTTTCGCGGACTGAAGTTGGACGGTTGACGCACCTTAAGTGCTCCAGGATCTACGCTTTTTCCCACAGCAGAGTCATTCTGCCGGGCAGCTACGCAGTTCCCGTAAGCTGGATCCATAGACCGCTGTCGACGTATCGCACAACGTTTTTGTTATCAGGATTTCACTAGTCTCGTTTCCTGACGGACACATACTTCGGTAGCTAACAGAGGCGGCGTTTGTCACATGTGTCCCCTGCAGAGGGCCACGCTGTAGATGCGCTGGACCAATACGCGGTGGTCAGATGAGGGTCCGGTACGCCTTATTGGGCTGCGTCCACACAACAAATGCCGCATACATGTGGACTATGGTGGCATGCCTGGCGCAGGATCACGTCGCACCAGCCACCTGCACCCGATCCCGCCTCTGGCCCCCCCGCTGACTCTGTCTCGACGCCGGGGGCCCAGGTGCGTAAGCGAGGAAAGTACCGTAAATACAGCGTAAGTTTACTACCATTATAAACTAATTCACGCCCAAGTCACCATCCCTGCCGCCGCACCATGCGGTGGGCATCGCGACAACGACGGTCAATTTTTCGTATCCTGTCCAGCCACCACTTTCGCCTGTGTGAACGGCGTAAACCGGCCTCCGCTGGAGACACTTTATCTCTGCGTTTGCGTGTGAAGGGATAAACAGTGCGTCCTTTAATAGGGCTGTGGAGGTCTTCCAAACGGCTGTGGTGTCACATGGCCCACGACTGGCATAACAAAAAACACTTGGCCAGGATTTCAACCAACAACAACAATTGGGGGAGGGACGCTGGGATCCCAATTGGCGCGACGTGAGCCGGCAACTGGGCCTGCCACTGCGTCCCGAATGTTGGCATTTGTTGAGTGCGCATTCCCGATACCGCCTGCCACAGTCCGATCTGGTCCCCGTCGTGACCCAGCGCACCTATCGCGTGACCCATTTTAGAGGCACACCAACTGGCGTAGTGAATTAACGACCATATCCGTGGGCTCGTTAGGCGGGAGGGGGGTGCGAAACTACAAGAGCTCCTATGGAGCGTGGAAACACGCCAGACACTCACGATTCCGGGGTGTGCCTGCTGTGCCGAGTGCCGCTTCTCGAAGCAACAGGTGGCACAAGTCTATCTGTGCATTTGGATGAGCTGAAAGTCTATTAGTGTACTAACGCCCACGGTGGGTAGCAAAGTGCTTGGTGTACAACGAGAATCCCCGATACATACGCACCAAACTATACACGCGGTTTTACCGCGTTGGAAGGGATATCTAGTTGCCATCATATGATTTGACCCGACAGTCGAACCGGTACCGGAGTGTGGCCGCTGCGCCGCTTGTAAGGGCGTTCGGACGAAGCGGTGGTTGGATGAGTCGTGCCTTTGTGTGAATGCGAGCTGCAGGCAGAAGTCCGCGAAGGGACCGATAGTTAAGTAGGAAAGGAAAAGGTCGGCCTAGTGCACACACAGTCTTGGTTTGTGTCAAATGCTCGAGGAGTTACTCGGGCCGACGGCAAGGGCCTACATAGACGCGTGACTGCCAGTAGATTAAGTGTGTTGACCCGTCCCTGTAGGCTTTTCCTTGAGTTGACAGTGGTAGGAAGGGCGAGCGCACGAACGATGCACTCCGTTCCAGTAAATGTTAATCCACACAGATCCCTCGGTGAGTAGTTTCACTGTCATCTAGCCTCTGGAGTGGGATAGGGCGCAGAGAGCGTCGAACGCCTGGAGCTCAGTTTGCATAGACATGAAAAGGCGTTACATAGCCGGAAGCGGACCACAACCGATGATTGGGGTTTGAAAATAGTAGATAGATCAAAATTAGGAAAACAGACTGAACTGCTGGGTCAAATGCAGGACCCTGTAACCGATACTAGTCCTGTTATGAAATCTACCTTGGTTTCGTGAAAAGGTGTCGGACACCGCAGTTTCCTTTCGCTGGTTTCTTCTAGTGGCGCAAGAAAGCAGGGCTAGGAATTCGAGATGGGGAACGGTGTAGCAATGATGCCAGTTTGTTACTACTTCAATCACGTGGAGATTAGAACTTTGTGACTGCGGGAGTAGATCATGAACTGCGACCGCTCACAATTAAATCGCATTCTGCAGAACATCATAAGTCGGGGACGGCAACAACAATCACAACGGGCTGGGCAAATTGCAGCCAGGACGTGTGCTGTGCTGTTGCCATCCGACAGCGACAACTTGTATTGATCGATTCACTTTGTTCGCTCCACGAGCGATGGCGCTTGATTGGCTCTGGCAGCTGCGTCTGTTGTGGTGTCTAAACGGTTTGACGTAGCCCTATAGCTTGACAGCTTTGCCTGTCAGTGCCGAACCGTCGTCTCCTCCCTCGCCTTTGTATGTGGTACTGAGTGGCACTCAGTCCAACTAACTGGGTGCTATGTGGACGGAACGCAGGATTTTTTGGGATACTTCTAGGAAGTACTTTTTTTACAAAAGAACTTCCGCTACTCAGAGCAAGGAAAAATCCTGGGCCTCCTTAAGGAGGGACTTTTCTTTTAACATCGTATCCCTATGTTGACTTTGGCTTCTATTGTCTACGACGTTCACATGCATTGCATTTGGTTTGAAAACTAATGCACCTGTTTTCTACTCAGGCGGTTGTATTGATGCAGTTGTGTCCGTCCGTCGCACAGGTCCAACGAAGCTTGCTGTCGGCAGCCTGGTCAAATGCGTTACTGTCGTTTATTTCATTTCAGCTATGCCCTTCCGTCAGGCCTGCTTTCACAGTTTTCAATGGAAGCAGTATCAGAGTCTGACTTCCAATGTTTCATTCGCCGGTATTATTCTGCTTCTTTTCGCAGAACGACATTCTGCCTATGACGTCCTCCCTACCTTTCATCTTCTATCCCCGTCTAGAATTTCCGCCTGCCTGGAGCATCACGTGGCCCTGGATGGACCGATGCTGGTTCGGCTTAATACTCTCATGGGCGAGGTGATCGGTCTTATCCGCCGGCTGGGTGAGGCCAACCTGGATCTCTGCGTTTTTTGCCGCAACAACAACGAGACATTTGAAATGTACACAAGTCATAAGGTTGGTTCTAGTTTCCATATATACTAACCCTTTCTCTTTTGCACCGACATGTAAGCAAATCAGCTTACCTTCAGTCGCGAGCTTCAAGCTCTCTTGTAAATAGCAACACCCACCAGCAGTGTTAGGAAGCGGCGCGATGAGGGTCGTAATTAGTATGTACATAGAATACCTGTTTTTCCACTGACTTGGGATTGCGTGAATTTTTTCCTCAATTAACCTTTTGACACGAAATGTCTTCTTGGAGTCTGTCTAGCCTCTGCGGTGATCGAACGGATATGAGGAGACAACGGTAGGATTGATTCACCTTCATTTGAAGCAGTCTCTGTAGAATTACGGACCCTGGAAGGTTGGATTTTGTGATCGTCAGTTCAGTGCGCTGTCTACTGTCAAAATTGTCGCTTTCCCAGACCCGACTGCTCTTCCAATAGCCCTTCTACTTTTCGCACTTCAGAGGAACACCGATAAAACGCGCTCGTAGTCCACTTACGTCAAAGGCACACCTTGGTCACTTTCCTTTGCTGCATCGTCTTCATGCAGTGGAACTCTTAAGTCTGTAGAATGAGCCCTGGACTCACAATAGGGACGAGTCTTGGAGCACTGCTAAATGTTGTCATTCGTCAAGACTAAAAGTCGGATTGGCCGTTTACAGTAGGGCACCGGGTACCGGTCTTTTCCATTGCAGTGAGAATTTTGAGGAGTCGGAGGACTCTCAGGGCATTCACTCTACGTGTTCTGGTCTCAACCGCGTTCGGGACAATTCCTCTCGACTCTGATTAGACTCTGCAAACTGCGAATTTGTCCCCCGTATTACGTATTAGTTGATATGAACTGTTGGTGTCAGTACGGTTTAAGGTGTTTTCCATTAAACCAGTGATCGAAAATGATAAGTTCCTGCTGTCCTTTCCAGTCGTACGTTGTCAATCAGTCATAGTAACTTCCTATAGTGTTGTCGGGGCCATAACTCACTCGTTGGGACACCTCAGTGAGTTATCAATCGTTTCCTCCGGTGCGTCATGCATGAGTTCCTCCTAAGTTCCGTTCTTGATGCCAAGTGATCCGAAAATTCGTCTCCCATGCAGCTGCGTCGTTTTAGACGTCGTATCTGGCCCTTCGGACTACCCCTTAAGTGGACCCTAGGGCGCGTTCGGACCAAGACGGCACTGAATGTATTGACAAGAGTAGCTCGCCTTTATCTTACCCTATGGACCCGACTAAGGCATCGCTCGTTCACGCAGGTACTGCCAACGCGTCCTATCACCGAAGCTGTCGAGATTGCCTGGAACCCACATTGGGTCTCCCCAGATCACGTGTTTGTTATCTGACTAATTAATAGGTGTTTTTGGCGTCCATTCTGACCCAACTGTGAAAAAATCAGCGACGACGGTGGGATTCGAACCCACGACAGCAAGGGGGAGGCTTCAGTACAACCAGCGCTCTACCCACCTGAGATATGAGGGGAGGCCCCACCGAGAGCCGTCAGTTTAATCACGTTTTGGTCAGGTTACCCGCCTAGCCTGCTGCGACGTATGGAATCCACCAAATCTGCTGGTTACTTAGAAAACCCCGTTTGGGATGTAAGCTTACTGCATCCAACTTGGTGGATTCCATACATTGCAGTAGTTTGGGCGGATAACTTGACCCAAATGTGATTAGACTCACGGCTCTCGGTGGGGCCTCCCTCATAGCTCAGGTGGCAAAAGCGTTCGCTGTACTCAGCCTTCCCCTTGCTGTCGTGGATCAGAACCCCACCGAGGTCGCTGAATTTTTCACAGGTGGGTCACAATGCAGCGTTTGTCTTCTTGCTGCTGGAGACGAGAAGAAGCTTAACTATTGGGCTGATATGCGGTACACTTCGAAAAATGAGCCATTCCAATGTGGCGAATATGGTGCTTGGGGTTAGTCCTTTTTCACATAACCCTTTTGTGACTGGAATGCGAAAGTTTACTTTAGTCGTTCACCATTATCGTAACCCCGGGGCATTTGCACTGTCTGGATCATCGAGACGTTGCCATTTCCAAGTCAGTTTCCTCGAGTATGTAGCTGCCCCCCCCCCCCCTCGTCGGTGTCTCGTCGTAGTAGCCCCAGTAGGCCAGACAAATGAAGCGGGCGCTGCCGCCTTCGGGTTTAAAAATCGAATAAATATGTGGCGGTTTTTGTTGGTGCTATGATTACACATCGTCCCCCTTGCCTTTGGCGGCGTCAGTACTTGTTCCGCCCTACCTACGCACCAGCACGTACTGTCGGCCCCGTGAGCGATGTGGGCGTCACACGGCACTGACAACCTAGTGATTCAATGCTTGCCGTAAGTATGCTTTCGGATCACGATCGCGAGTTCAGCTTCGGCTACCGGCGGTGGACAGATTTTCCACGGCCTTTTAACTGAGTGACTACGGCGGACACGGCTGCTTACCCCCATTCAGTACGGCTCTGAATGTCCTGAACATGTCCTCACCTGAATGTCCTCACATGTGTCTGTCGTGCCAAATTTTAGTTGACCCCTCCTGCCCGCTTCTTCACAAGACTCAGACCTCCATTGGGTCCAAGGAACTCTGCCGTGCTTTGATGACCCGTGTCAGCATTTATGTGGACTTTCTCTCCCCACGCCTCTAACGAGGCTCCGTTGTAGGGTTGTAGTAACAGCTCTAAACTCATGGGTGGCGAAAAACGTGCTCGAAACACCTCAGCCGTTCTCCCCGAACCGCCTGAGCTGTACACTCAACATAGTCGCAGCGAGTACGGATCGCCCCATTCGAGACGAATCGAGTAATCGTTCTTCGGCCTTTGTGGCGACTAATATACGGAAGTCAGCTGATGATCCCTTTTCAAGGCTTGGCTCAGGCGATAATGCGTAATTGCCTTAATGCTTGACAGAAACTTTACCCCGACACATTTGCAACTGTTGGCTTCTCCAACTTGACGGCTGTTAGTCACCAGAACTGCTTTCTTCTTTGAGCTGCATTCAGAAAGTACTTTGGTACTATCAGCGTTTGTGTATACAAGTTAACTTGAAGGAATATTTCCCCGGAATGAATTTGAAGCAAGCAAGAACAGCAGAATTTAATGGCACCACAAAATTTCGCGACCGCTTCTCAACTGCTGCCGGTCGTTGCATAACAGAAATAACAAGTGAGAAAGGTACAAAGGTTTGAATTTCGACAGAGAAAATCGATGTAAAACAGCAAGGTCAACGTGTACTGCGCGTAGACTAATCGATAAAATGGTAACTTCAAAATGCAACATGGGAATGAAAATGGGGAACTAGGCATGCCGAGGGATTTCGAAACTCACAAGGGGCTCGGGTCTACCAGGGCAAGCTGAGGTTGACCACGTGGTCTAACTGTTTACATAGGTCGGGTTTCTCCCGCCGTATATAGGCTGCCTCCAGGTAGCGCAATAAACGAGTAGTTCGTGCTCGAACTAATACTCGAAAAGACGTCTTAGGGTCAACCGAATGGCCACTATCAAGGAGATGTTTTGTAATGGAAGACCGTGGAGTCTTGTTCTCCTGCTTTAGAAGCCATTTAGGCAGGTGCTCAACTGCTCTGGCTGCCAGTTGCCTTTGCGTTCGCCCAATGTACTTGCATCCACAAGTACATGCAACGACCGGCAGCAGTTGAGAAGCGGTCGCGAAATTTTGTGGTGCCATTAAATTCTGCTGTTCTTGCTTGCTTCAAATATACAAGTTAAATTGGCCTGACAACCTCTTTCATCCGAGAATGCGTTATGTAGTTCGTAAGACCGTCGTTACCGTCTATCGTGTGCTCCACAACAGGGTGGGAGTTGGGGCGGTGACTTACGCGTGAATCGCTTTACAGCGATAGTAGACTTTCGCAGCCTCTACCGCACTCTCTCCTCCCTTACCTGGACCGTTGCCATGACGGAGTCAAGAAGAGCGGAAGCGGGAGGGCGCAGGTGACTGACACGGCGAATACCCATACCTAGGCGTAACACCTCACCCCCCTGGTCCATAACGTACACTGACCAGGATTTTATACAACAGCAAGAGGGCGGCGGCCGCTCAGATCCGAATTGGCGCAGCGTGAGCTTGCCATTGGGTTGGATTCGAACCCACGACAGTCGGGTCAAAGTGAATCATTTGAAATCTGAATTACGTGAGCCTGGTAGTCATCTGGTGGGTTCTAGGTGAATTACTTAGGAAATCCTTCTTGGGAAGTCAACTTACTGTATCAGATTTGGTGGATTCCAGACGTTGCACTAGGTTGGGCGCGCAAACTTGACCCAAATGCGATTAAACTCGCGTCGCCGGTGGGGCCTCGTAGCTCAGATGGTTAGAACGTTGGCTGTTCCAAGGCCTCCCCTTGTTGTCGTGGGTTCAAAACCAACCGAGACACTGAGTTTTTTAGTTTGGTCAAAGTGAATAATCAGTGTTAAAACTCCACCGAAGTGGTCCTTTATAACCGGAAATTTGTTTCAGAACCACGGTTCGGCCGTCGCTGCCGACGATGTCCACCGTGTGCTCCACGGCAGAGTGAGTGCATGGACACGGTGACTTGGGCATGAGCTAGTTTGTGATTACTTATGGTGAGTTAGTTTATGGCAGACCCGCGCAGAATCCACCACTCTCCTCATCTCACACACACCATAACAGTGGGGCCGCAGAGGGGGGACAGATGGCCGGCACGGCAAAAACCCCACCTAGGCGTACCACCACTCCCTCCCCCTGGCCACAACGTACATTGACCAGGATGTTACAAAGCAAGAAAAGAGAGGAGCGGCTTGGATCCCAACTGTCGCGGCTCGCTGCTACACCCCCAGTGTCGGCATCTGCTGTGGGTGCGTATTCCCAATAAAGCCTGTCGTACCTCGACCTAGCCCTCGTGTTGATCCAGCACGCATCTACCACGTGGCCCGTTTTAGGGGCGTCACGCGAGTCACTATAAATAGGACGGACGGCAGGCTCCGGGAGCGACGTCCCCATCGGGTCCCTGACACGACGTCGGGTGACTGTGAGTGTCGTTAACGAAGACTCGGCAGCATCTGTGCCGCGATCATTTTGAAACCACCTAATAATGACGGTCATGAAGGAGTTTCTAGTGATTCCAATGAGACTTTTGCGACGGTAGTTCTCCCTCTACTTAAGGACAAGCGCAAGGACGACTGGGTTACTGGCCAAACCCCGAACTAAGGTAGGGGTGCCGAAGTTTACATCCAACCAGGTAGGAAGATGCGCCGTCTAGCAAGGCCCTTCTCCTCCTCTGTGGCCTGAATTTAAGACCCGATTTCTCGTGGCCTGCACAGAAGGATTTCCGCGAAGATAAGAAATCACGAACTTTTATAAGGGAGGAGATTCGTCTTTCCATACGGAAGGTATTCCAAAATCAAACAAGGTGGTACCGGAGTAGTGCTAAACTATTACCTGCAGCGTAACTACTGACTGTTGTTTCGCCTTCTGCCGTGTCATTGTTCCCTCTTTTCTCTGATATATATACTAGGTTAAGGACCGGACCGGCCGGGTCACGTGTCCAATCCTGAGGCGTTTTGTGTGTCCCTTGTGTTCCGCCACTGGGGACCGCGCTCATACCATCCGGTATTGTCCGCTTTCTGTACAGTCTGGTCGCTTGCCCATTCAGGGAGTCTCCACCAACCCTGCAGCTACAATGGGTTCCCTTGATTCTATTATTTCCCAGCTCTCTGGCATGTCGCTGCGCTTATAAGGCTCACAATCGTGACCTGTGCCTTTTTCTCATTCCTATATAATGTTTTCCTGCCTCTTTCAATTAATTTTAAGTGTCAGTTTATCTCCCCGTAAGAAATATACGAAATGCATATTCATTTCAAGAACGGCCTCTTATTCTCCCCCTAACCATATAATGTTTTTGGGAGGTAGATGATTGAGAACCGGCTTCCCTCTACCATTCATGTCAGGACATGAATGATATCGCCTTGACTCTTCAGACAAATGACGGGTGGGGCTTATTCCGTCATTCTCTGTTTTGTGAGTACCCGCCACCTCGTAGTCGTATGGCGTGCGCTTCGACTGATTTCTTGCAGGGCGCCACCGTGGCTGCGACCTCATAGAATTATGCCCAGCCCGCAATCCTCCCCCTCACAGGAGCACATTGTTGCCCCGAGGGTAGGCAGCCGGGGCAGGCAGACCGCCTCACACATCTCGGGATCAGTTTTTTGTTATAAGTGGTCTGAGTGTGGAAAACATCGCTGCCCTGTTTGTGGGGTTTCTACCGATCGTCGATAGTGTCTGCAGGCCGTTGCGATGTCTCTTGCCGCTGGGGTGGGTCCGCGTGTAGCGAGCGTCTATTTGTCCGGTCCACTTTTGAGTGTAAACACCGGACCGTGTGTGTATGAGGCTAGGGGCTTTCGGCCACTGTAAGATTCCTATACCAAACGACAATGCTGAGGAAATGAGTGAAGCTATTGTACATCACTGTGATATGGGGAGAGAACTGAGATCGGGTACAGCTCTAACATTAGCTCCCCTAGCCGGTGTCATTCTGATACTCAATCTGGGGCTTCTTCGACCGTATTTACCGTTGCAGCTTCGAGTAATGGGGTCTGCGTTTGCTTGGTCGACAGGACGGGCTCCGGTGTTCTGCCTAGTCAGCCTTCTGAGACCGTTACTGTCAGTCGCTCCTGTCTCCTGTGGATTTTAAGATTAGTGAAGAGGGAATTCTCATGCCTGTATGCATAGGTCGCGGTTCCCTCTCGATCGGGGTGGAATGTCTGGAGCATCTTATTAAGAGTCTTGCCGGGCACGCATGCTAACGTTGGTCTCACTGGTGCAACCGGCGGGCGAGACGGTCGGCGGTGGTGTGAGGGCAGGGACTAGTCCACTCTCTGCTGGTTAACCGCTCTAAGTTATCGGACAGGTGTTATCGGCCGGACGCGGATTCTTTGGCCTTCGCCTCGATGGACGTTGCTGTTGAGGGGATTCCGGTTCCTGATGGGACCGTTGCAACGACGAAATCTCCATAAAACAGAACCTTGCAGGCCGCGTAATCCCATGCTGTACGAGTTGGGGGGCCGCGCACGTGCGCACTCGGGAAATCCGCATAGGATTTCGTGCTTTGAGGATGTGATAGCAGTGGGGTGTGTAGCCTTGCGTCCCACATTTCCCAGAAGAGCTCATAGACTAGCACACACTCAGCTCCAGTTGGCGGGGTAACTACCCGTCCCCTGATGAACTAGCTAGATAGATTTCGAACCGGTAATAGGGCGACATGGCTCCAATTCTGATGGTGAGGATTTGATTGCCATTTAGCCTAACGGCATTGCCAGCAACAACCTGCACCAGAATGCGTTCGTCATGTGTCTGGTGTCCCGAGACATGAATTCGACCTCTTCATCTGCTACCGGTCAGTTAGGCGCATCACACACGCACAGAGTCGTATATATTGGGCCTGTCTAGCAGGCGTGCGATGTTTACGGGCCGGCCAGCTTTGTCCATGACTGTAGCCTCCGCGGCTTACTGACGTCCTCGGTGAGTGCACGAAGTCCCTGGACCCTGACCGCGACGGAATCGAGGTCCCATCCAGTTTGGCGGCATAGAATGCCGCCTGCACCTTCAGTCCTTAAGGCAGCCGCAACATGCATTACCGTTAGACCACTGTCCGACCATTTGTCCTTTTGGTATTTTGCACCTCCACCTCGAAAGGCCTCGGTCCTGGCTAACGGTGCGGGTGACAAACGGACTGAGAGCCGACCGGCCATCGCCACTGACGGTCACGACGGGCCATGGGACGCAGACAATACAGCAGATGGGCTAGTTATAGATGGCAATTGCAGGAATTGCTTTTTTTGGAACGCCAGTATCTAGTAGACGTATCCCATCGAAAACTGATACTTAGTCTTAGTTTGGCGTGACATCCACTTTTCCCTTGCAGATGTCTTTCGGCTAATGTCACGCAGAGTTGTCTACTTAACGCTCCCGTTTACACAGACTCGACGAAGCGAAGAGGGTCCCAACGCCCGAAGATGGACTCGGGCACTCGTTCAAGATCAGAGGGACGTATTAAGGACAACCAAAGGGCGAGAATGTTCGCGCAGGGATACGGCGGGACGGGGTTCTTTTTACTATGAAAGACCAACCACCTTGGAGCAGCCAAAGCGCTCGCGTAGGGACGCGGTCGTATTAGAGTCCAGGACGCTAAGGAGTACACGGGTTTCTAGATCTGGACAAATTCCAATGCCAGTAATGCCACCAGAATCACTTCGAAGGTCATCCAGCGCACAGAAACACACTGTGACTTACATTTACCCAGTCCAGATTGCTAGTTCTGATCGGTAGTGTCGCACCAAGACCATCGACTAGTCAAAAGATCCCTCTGTCCCGACTCTCTGTATTGCTATTGCTCGAGACTCACACGTTTGTGGGGGAGGAGCAAACACATTAAGAGAATCAGAGGATCATGTCAAAATACTCATCCTGCCCACTAACAAACGGCTAGTCCGCTGTCGTACCAGATAAAGAGAACCAGAGTTATAATACCTACAAGCGGACGCGAACAAAGGAGAACTGCAATATAGTCTCCCTAGGGGTGGCGGAAATGTCGAATGGAATAAGCAGCCCTGCGGTCATCAGTGATCGGTATGGCCTGCCTCTGCTGTCTACCGTAGACACACAAGCCGAGTGGATCGCCCCGATTGTCCCCCTTCCCCTCCAAGCGGGCCACGCGGTAGAAGCGCTGGACCAACACTGGGGCCATATCGGATCCTGGCAGGCGTTTTCGGCTTTGCGCACCGTAACAAATGCCAACATTTCGGGGTGCGGTGGCGGACCCGGTTGCCGGCGTACATCGCGCACATCGGGACCCTGCTACCTCCCCCCCCCCACTGTTGTTGTGAATCAAAAACCTAGTTATTTTTCTTGTGGACCAGGGGGTGTGGAGTGGGACGCCAAGGTGCGGGCTCGACCGTGCCATCCACCTGCGCCCTCCCCCGCTTCCGATCTTCTTGACTCTGTCTTGACACCGGGCCCAGGTTGGGGAGGAGGAGAGAGCGCGGTAGATGTTGTGAAAGTCAACTACCACTATAAAATAAATTTTCGCAAAAGTCGCCGTCCCTGATCCCACCCCGCTGTGGAGCACACGGTGGACATAGTCGGATGCGACGGTCGAACTGTCGGGTCGCCGTGACCAATCGCCTCGCGTAAGGACGGTGGTTTGCGCGTGAATTAGTGTGTAGTGATAGTAAACGTACGCTTCACCTACCGCACCCCCTCCCACCTTAGATCGGCCTCAAGACGACTGGAGGCGGAATCAGGTCCAGTGGCCGGCAGGTAAGTAGCTCGGCTGCGCGTGCTGCACACTCCCGGCCAGGTCTTCACACAACAAGGGGGAGGGGGTTCCGATCCCAGCTGCGCTGACACGCCATAGAGGCCACATTACGCAGGATCCATTGTGGCCTGATTCCCCATCCTGGAAGGAGGACTGAGAATCGATCCAAGTCTCTTCCTTCTCCCTGGCACCAGTCCATCGTCCGAGTCCGTCAGTCATCTGATGTGGTGATCTGGCTGGCAGGGTTAGGCAGCCCGTCGGGGCGTGCCGCACACGAACTGGTCCCCAGTCAACATGCGAGTTTTTCTTGCACACAGTGGAAAGTCTATTCTTATCTCACGCTCGTTATCTGCTACATGGAGAAGAGGCCAGAGAGCACGACTCATACTTTCGAAAGAGGCGCCGATGGTTAGTGCTATGGAACGGGTTCGTGCGTGGTGTGCGCCGGTGAGGAGGGATGTGGTGATGGTGGTTTGACCAGCGGTATTTTGCCGCTCGTTTTCATGGATGCGTATATGGCCGGGTAGGTCCATGCGCTGACTGAGTATGCGTGGGCAGTGTGCGCAACTGAGGCAAAACTGATGGGTGTAGGTTGGTGCTGCAGGCACTGGCTCGCCTGTCCCTGAGAGGGGTTCGTAAGTGGCCGACTAGGCGGATGCGTGTGGCGGAGGTGCGGTCAC